CAGTCAAGGAAAAATGTACATTTTATGGGTGCGCATTTTTACTACAAGCCTGGGGTTGGTGGAGGATGGAGTCCTTAAACCCCATCAACAACAACACTTTTGGTTTCCCGTACGCAACAAAGTAAGTCATTAAGTTATAGCATTTATAAGTATTCTGCTCTTTCCAAAATATATGCTAAAAATAACATGTTTCTCATTTCCTTTAGGTACTGCGTGAGGGGTATGGATTACGGCAAGAATCCAAGATTCAATGTCGCACTCTACCGGAATCTGTTGGATCACTTAGGCCCAGATGACGTACGTCGTAGCTTTTCACTTTTGTTCATTTTAATTATTTATACATTACTTTTGCTCTAACCTGATTTAAATTTTATCGCAGTTCGTCTGGAGACCATATTTGGGTTTGGGCCATTCTCCAAACCCAGAGGGTGCAGCAACTTGGACTGCAAAGACTGCACTCATTCGGTTCAACATTGTGGAGATGCACCACAGCGACCGTGTGAAGATGCAGTTCGGAATGCATCAAGAGATAATGAGTGATCCAACAGATTTGTCCCCCTGGCATCTAAAAAGGGTCGACGCCCAGTGGGGTCTTACCAACTGGAAAGACTTTGCTCCGGAATGGTGTAAAATGTGGCAAAGGCGTCACCGCTACATCTTGCAATCCCCGGTTTTCCTTACTCAAGGTAACATGCGACACACTGATCAATATATGTCGTGGTACAGGTCGGTTAGTAACCCAGAAATGCACGTGTCTCATTCGAGGTACTTGGTTGACCCACGCACACAATGGGCACAACCCTCGATTCCCCATCAACAAACCCAAAATCCATCAACCTCAAACCAACCCCCAAGAAGAAACAGACCAACAAACACACAACCACATTCCCCACCACAACACAACTACAATCAAATGCCGTACTACCAACCACAATCACCACCAAACTACCAATACCCGGATATGCCTCAAACCCAACCACAATACCAACCTCAATACCAGCACACCCATATACCCCAGACACAATTTCAGTCTTCCACATATCCCAATATGGCGCCCTCAACATCCACCCTTAGCCCTAATATGGGAATGTCAGAAGATTATGACCAAGCCGACCAAACCTACCATCAACCACCATATCACCAAACAACCCAACATCCACAATACCAAACACCCCAAGATCCATTTCCTTTCTACCCCCCATACTCAGACGACCAATGCTACCGACCAACCATGGAACCCCACCCACCGCCAACACGACCAAACTTTGAGGGTATGGGTAACCGACTGTACCAGAGCGGATCTTCGAGATATGGAGATCTTACTGATTTTATGGATTTGGATCGCATTGACTTCGCTGGGCCATCGACCTTGCCGCAGCAGGAAACGCGACGGCACCCAGCAAGAGAAAGGCGAGGACGGGGATGCGGAACCGGGGGTCATTACCGGGTTCTGGGGGATCACTGATGTATCTTTTTTTCCCCAGTATTTTTTGTATCCATTTTTTTTACTGTTCTTTTAATGTAAAACAGTTGAATGTAATTATTTTTTTTTAAATAAAAAATCCATTTTGTTGATCTCTGTCTAATAGGCAACACACAGGAAAGAAAATAAAAAAAAAAATTTTGCCCTAATTTTGTACATAGGCGCCATCTCACTTGGCTTAGGGCATGTCCTAAGCACTTAGGCGCCAAGTGAGATGGCGCCTCCCTTAAAAAAGGAGGTGCATGCGCCAATTGAGATGGCTCCTCCTTTGTGGAGCCATCTCAAACATGGTTATTTGCGTAATTTTTTCTGAAACCCGGTTATTTACGAAATATTTTTTTAATACATGGTTATTAATAAAAAAAATTCCAATTGAGGTTTCATGCATTTCTAAAAAATTTATCAACTTGCACTAATCATATCTCACTCAATTTTTGTCATATGAAGGTGATTTTGGACTTTTTGGAAAGCTCAAGATGTTCCCTACAACTCTCATGTTGTTACCTAGTTCATTTTAAGTCTTTAACTTGATGTAAATTGCTTTGATAAAATATGTCTTTTTGTTGACTTTCAAAATGACCTATAATGTTTTTGCTCATATCTCTCAAATGAAGTATTTTTTGGACTTGAGCTTAGAGAGGCAAAGTTGTAGAGAATTGAATTTCCGTCAAAATGGGCATTGGTTGGGAATTTTCTGATGAAACATATGAGAGTTATGCTTGGTCAAAGTTCATTTGACTTCTCATAAAGAAAACCCTAATTTAGCAATTTTCGACTTTTGATGAAATTTGATTTTTCTTGATGAATCATGATCAACCCTTGATCAAATCATGAATTTGACCTCAAAATCTTGATGTTGACCAAAAATCTTGAAGTTTGACTGTACGTTGACCACAATTGACTTTTTGTCCAACACAATTGATTTTCACTCATCTGAGCAATTGACTGAGCAAAATTGTGATGCAAGGCTTGAAACTTGTCATGAGGGTACCTTGAAGCATATGAGGAACCATGAGACTCACTTGAGAAATTAGAAACTCAATTTTCTTTGAGAAACACAAAACCCTAATTGTAGGCCATTAGTTAGGAGAGATGCTTGTATGTTCAAATCCTTGAGTATTCTTGAGCAATGGAGAACCCTATGAGCATGGAGAAGTGTCTTGAAACAATTGTCTTCAAAAATGGGAGGGAAAATTTTGGGGTACAATAACAATTAAGTGAGAAATTAATGATTGACCAAATTTCAAGAGATGCTGCAGCGACTGATATCATAAGTCCCTAGGGTTTCCTTTGAAATTTTGTGACAATGAGATTCGCTTTGGGCCTACTCACGTGATTCAGCCCGTTTCTGATTCATTCCACCTACGTTTTTTCTATCAACATTTTCTTGTTGGCCAGAATTCGTGTGGGCTACTAATACCCTCGCCCAAATACCTTGTTTTTTTAATATGGAGCTATATGTAACAAAAACAACATCTTGAGTCTCGTTTCAATTGGGCTTTAGCGTTCAGTAATTCATTCTTACCGTATATTATGCTTTACACCCTCCATGTTTTATTAGACTACAATAAAACACGTAAATTATGACGATTATTTTAAGATGATTATGGTTGTTTCAACCGCCGCAATTTACTAAAATGATGTTTAAAAAAAAGATGTAGAATTGATTGCTGCTAGGTAAATTATGATGGTTTAAAAATAAACTCGTGACAACCGCCACTTTAAACTTAGGATAAAATGGTGGTTTTTTATTGAAAATAGTGGCGGTTTGAAACACCACAATTTTCACGCATAAACAAATTTCATTTAATAGTATGTTGTTTGAAATCGCCATTATATACTTAAATCTATGTCAAATTCAACCGCCACAATTTTCTATAAATATTATTCTATAAACTGCCACAATTTTTAAATATATTTAGTTTTGTATTTTAAATATGTAAAATTAAATTCACAATTTTTATCATTATTTACTATTGACTTTAAAGTAAATTTAAATTTTTTAAATTGAAGTTTACTTTTGTATTATTCTTATAAAAAGTTAAAAGACATATTAAAAATTCATTCACTAAATATATAGGACATTGCAATTGTTCAACCTTTTCAAAAATACTAATAAGTCTAACTTGTTTGATATACATATCACAAGCTTGTTTAAAAATACAAAATCATAAAATTGACCAACAATTGTGTCATTATCTTAAGTTATTCTCAAAGTAAACAAGTTTTATAACATAAATGTTTCATAAATAAATCATATGTCATTTGAAGGACTTTGGGGATTTGCATCATGTGTATTGTTTACATCTGATGATCTTATGGCATAAGATGATGAAGGCTCACTTTCTACCTCTGAAGTCTAAAAAAATAGAAAAAACATTATATTACAAGATCATTATATTTCTACCATATAAAATAACTTATAGAATAAAATGTCCATATTGTAACAGTTAGATCATAAGCAATAACTAATGCATTGTAGGCCAAGATACAATTAAATAGGGATTTTTTTTGAGGTAATCATGATATAGTACAAAATGTGATGTGCACTTCTAAACACTAAACAAATTAAACTAAAGCTAACAATAATAACACTTTATTAATATTCTAAAGGAAATATATTTTGAAGTAGTCTTGATTCAGTACAATTTAGTTTAAATTTCAATAAATCATTCTCTCAGTTTCACTTTAAGTTTCAATTCCAGTTTTAGGTCTAAAACCCCAATCCAACATTCCATATTTTTCACTTTATCATAGTCCGACCAAACACAAACAACAACCTTGTTCAGACACAAATTTCTTGTCTGGACAAATACAAACTAGTCTTTCTCCAAATTATTTTGAGGTATTCTTAATACAGTACATTACATATATTTTGAGGTAATCTTGATATTCTAGAGGACATACATTTTTGAGGTAATCATGACACAGAGCAATACATATAGTTTAAAGGACATATATTCTACAACACTTCTTAATATTCTAAAGGACATATATTGAGGTAATCATGATACAATACAATGCATATATTTTGAGGTAGTGTTGATATTCTAAAGGACAATAGCTTCCAGAAATCTTGGGCAATTGTGATGTTACATTGCATTGTCAACTAAACACAATCACTAATAGACTCACAAAGTAGTACAATCAATAATAGACTCAAAAAGTGGCATACATGTTAATGCCCGTGTCAACTAAACATTGAACAAAATGACTAACTAATTGATATACCTGTTGTGTATGATTTGCAAGTACAACAACTAAATCTGCAGGGCCATTACCACCTTCTTTTGTACTAATATAGCCAACAACTGCTTCCAATAGAGCAGTCACAAATGCAAGTCTTTTTTCTACAATAAAGAACTACCATTTAAAGTATTACCACCTGAAGAATCAAACTCCATACCACTAAGTCGTGTAGTGGTTTGTTTAAAAGAAATAGTAGGAAACACTCACATGTCCATTGCTCGAACACGACCAGGATGCTCTTTTCCAAATACCTTTCCAACAACATCATTTAAAGAAATTCAGAAGAAGCCTCAAAGTTTTGATTTAAGTGACTATCAATTTTTTCCTACATAAAATACAAATAAACAATGACTATCATTCATTTACTCATAATATAAAAAATGAATATAAACTTAAAACATATAAAGATATATAGATTATTAATTTACCCCTATCTCCTTAACTTTTTTATTCACATAACTCCCATCTTTCTTTTTATGGGTCATGTTCCATGTTAGACCCCGACCGATAGTCTTACCCGTCTCAATAGTCTAAAAAAATAATACACAATATCATTATGTATTTAAGTCATATCTAAGAAAAATATTTTGATAACGATAATGTTAAACTTACTAGCCTATGTCTTCTCCTTGCCAAAGACTTGACCCCACACGTATGAGAAAAGACTTGTTTGTTCCTTATTTTTTGTTTTTTCTTACAAAGATCCTATAAGTAGAAACATACTACTTTCTATAATTTCACAAAATATTACATAAAAAAATTCAATATACAATGAAAAATGAAGTACATACCATCGTCTCTGGTTTGAAACGATAGTCAACATATAATACCCAATGTTCCAAGGTAACATCCCCTGGTTTATTTTCAATAATTTAACTTTTTCTCAAAAGTGAGTTATACTTAGCATTCCAAAGCTTAAGCCTATACTCCTTCCACTTTTTTCCAATCGAAGCCTCAATATATCTTTTAGCTAAATCTTTGTGTACCTTGAAACAAAATCGAGGCTTCCAATAACAAGAACATTAGTTACTTGCAATGTCTCATATGAAAACTCTATACATTTCTAAAATTAAAAATAACTTACCTGAAAAAGGATTTTCCATTGTTCATCAAAATAACCTTCGAGCATACTTGACCATTTTTCATCCATGATTTATCAAATTGACGTGACTAAAAAAAAACCGTTTCTCATTAGGTTATTTTTGCCAATACTATAACACAACTATACTTATTTAATAGACAAGTTTCTTTTGTATGAATTATGTGATAATAGTAACCCAATGAAAAATGACATTTGGTAAAAGTAACATAACTATAACAAAACATAATAGAATTATATTCATTAAGAAACCATTTTCAAGTGTGTCTTGTATGTGAGAACTATAACATAATTATTAGTCTAATTATTAGTTAAGAGAATGTTTTTTAATTAATATTAGTCTTGTTATTATTTTGGGTAATATTTTATACATAAAATGTATGTTTTTATTAGTTAGGAAAATGTTTTATATATAAGATTAGCATACTTGCTTCATTTTTGTTTCCATTGTGTACTCTATACTCATTACATTAGTTTGTCTAAGGGAGATTGCATTAGCCTAAAATGGCACATGTCGTGTTAAGATGTGTAAGACACATTTGGGTTCCACATATCATGATGATCTTCACATGATGGAGTTAGGAATGAGAATATACATTAGCAAACACAACCTTGAAAGGTCTTATTCTTTAAGTTCCATTTTGCATATGCACATCAAGATATATTAAATCTACATGTTCCTTGAAAGAATTTTTTAGCGATTGTTTTCATCTTTAGGGAGAAGGAGAAGAGCTAGCGTTTAACTGTTACGTTCTCTTTTTTATTATTTAATTCATATTGTATAAAAAAAGTTTAATTAATTTTAATTAAAATTTTATTTTAACGTGAGAACTAAAACTAAGTAATAAAAAAGATTGAAGCGGTAAAAATGAAAAGCAGTAAAACAGTTGAGCGGGTAACATGAAAAAAAGAGTGCGCTATTAGTGCGAACCTTTATAAATAATAAGTAAATAAGTAAATAATGGCGGTCAGAACCGTCGGTTTGTTACTAACATTATGTTAGCTAATTAAGTCGTCAGTAATCTACCGTTAATTATGGTTTTCATTAAACGCCATAATTTAACCACCATAATTTACACGATTTTTTATAGTGTTAGTTGTAATTAAGTTAGATTAGTTTTTTTATATAAATTATTATTTTTTAGTTTCATTAATTTAATTTAATTTAATTAGTTTTAACTTATAATTATTATAGTAATTTTGGAATTTTAATTTAGTTTAGTTAATAACTCTAGAATTTTTATTTAGTTTAGTTAGTAACTTTAAAATTTTTATTTAGTTTACTTAGTTTATTTAGTAACTTTAGAATTTTTAGTTAGTTTAGTTAGTAATTTTAGAATTTCAATTTTTATAATTTTAGAATTTTTATTTTGTTTAGATTTAACTTAGTAACTTTAGAATTTTTATTTAGTTCAAATTTAACTTAGTAATTTTATAATTTTTATTTAGTTTAAATTTAATTTGGTAACTTTAGAATTTCAATTTAGTTTAGATAACTTTGTTACATATCTCTTCTATATTTATTTTTCTGTGTCTCTTCAATTAAATTCTTTATTGTTATTTGTCATTGATTTATTTATTGATCCCCTTTGTAATTTTCTTTGTTGATAAATGATATGTCATGGTCTTTGTGTTTTAATCTAAGGGAAGGGGAATTATATGCTAACTATATTGTCATGTTTTAATCCTGACTTATATGTATTTTTTACTACTCTGTCATGTTTTAATCTTGACTTATATGTTTGTTAACTATTATGTCATGTTTTAATCTTGACTTATACGTTAGTTGTCTTCTTTTACCATTCCTATTTATGTTTGGTCCTTAAACCCCCAATCCTTTTTTGCAAACAAATATATCTCTTTATTGTATTTGCTTTTAGTTTTACTTCTTGCATTGCATATTTATTTTGGGTTTTATTTCTCTTTTTTCTCATTCCCTTGGAAATAATAAAGCGCGGTGGCGACTTTATTGTAATTAGTCAAGTCAATCAATAATTTGATCTCAAATTTTTCACCGCTACAGAAATGAGGACTTCACTGAAGATAGTAACATAGTGGGTTAAGCCTAACTTGTTATATGTGTGTTTATGTTATTATTATTTGTTTGCTATTTTGTGTGAATTTGCTTGATTCTTTGAGTATTTGGCGATCTTTACAAGGAGAAGTCATGTATCCGGACTAAGTACACTTAAGTTTAGAATGGGCGATATAATTATGTTGGATTACTAGGAGTGAGTTCTTAATAAGCTGACACGAGATCCTCCACTCAGTGGAGGCCTCCTTGGGGTAATAGTGTTAAACGAGTTAATCGTGAAAACATTATTATTTTGACCTGAGAGCCTACAAAGTTGAGCAACCGTAGAACCCTTTAGTCATATTTGGTCTTTTAGGATATAGTGCAGTGACTATTGTCGTAATCGGCAAAAAATACGAGTCACCACCATTAATTTTTATCCTAAGGACGGGAAAATAACGGATAACCCTAATCGTTTAGAGATTCTAAGATCGCGAGTTGGTTAGACGAAGGGAAGGTGTTAGGCACCCTTCATCTCCCTTGTTCTCAAGGGACATCCTATTTTAGGTCGTATGGTAAATTGAGAGTTTCTATTTAAAAATTAATGTTTCCATATGTTTAAGAAAAATGATTTAATTTTTTAATAGCAGGACTCGCCTTGGTTTTAACTGCGTATCTACGTATCTCCTTGTGAAGAATCAGAGACCAATTTTGTAGTTCGAATGGTTTGGTTAATATGTTTTATAGAATTGTGTTAAGTTGCTTTCAAATGGTTTTGAATTTGTCTGGGTTTGAAAATCGAGTGATGGTAGGCGAAGTTTCTATATCCAAGTAGAAAGAAACGGGACGATTCTTTATTTGAAAAAAGTCTTGATTTTTTATTATGTTAGTAAGATAAAGATTTTCGATTGGTTAGCTATCTTGAGTTAGGTTTTGTTTGAGTTTTGAAGAAGAGTTGATCTTCTTTAGAATTAAATCGCGCTAGGCGAAGAAATTGATTTGATTTGGTGAATTTTAAATGTTTTAATTTGAATAACTAATTGGCAAGCGTCAAGTCGACCAATCGATTATTCAACGATATGATGGATGTAAAATTCACCTATCTTATTATTTATAAAGATGTAATGAAATTTGGTTAAGAAAAGTGTTTGAATGTGTATAAGGTTGATTAAATAATTTCAATTAAAAAGAAAAGTAAAGACTTATTTTTAGCATTTTTATATTTTTATAATAATAATGAATACTATTTTTTATTGATCAATTATAATAAATAGATGCTAACTAAAAATAGTTAATATGAAACTAAAATAAAATAAGTTATAAAAAGACTTAAAGGGTGTTAAATTGACACAACGGTTATGATAAGTAAAAGAGTAGAGGAGGAGGCCTATAGCCCAATCATAACAAAACCCTAAAAAACTAATATAATTTATAATTAATTAATTAATAAATAAATAAAATAAAAAATTAGAAAATAAAAAAAATGTAGCAGCATGAGGGGCGATTATTATTTTTTTATTTACGAAAATCACTTTTATAATAAATGATAGTAATTATAATAAAATAGAAAATAAATGTGACTATATAATAAAACGGTGAAACAAAAATAATATTGATTATATTAGTAAAAAACAACAAAAACAAATATAAATAATAGTAATAGAAATACTAATAATAAACAGTTAATCTAAAAATCAAATAACCACAAAATTCAAGATTAACAAAAAGTCAAACATGCGATCGAATTAAAAAATCAAGCAATAATAACTCTAATTAGCCTATACAACAAGCTATGAAAAAAAACTACCAACCTAATATGCCATGACCACTTAAGTTGCATCCTCCTTCTTTCTCTTTCCTTCTTCGGTGCGAGATTTTGCATGTGAATATGAGTGAATGAGAATTAATTAATTGTTGATAAGAAAATAAAGTTAAAAAAAAAACAACCATCAAATAATATCACCATATGGTTGAAATTAAATTTAACAAACGAAGAAAATTGTCTAAAAGGGTTTTTTGTGAATTGTGTGTGTAAGGCTTAGAAAATTGTAAATATAATTTTAAAAAGACAACCATCAGGAATCATCATATGGTTTTAAAAAAAACAAACAAATCATAATTGAAAATAAAAGAGGAGGGGGCTCATATGAAAATCATTGGCCAAAATAGAGATTGAGGTTTTGAAAAAAGTGTGAAAAAAAGGTTGAAAATTTGTTGATAGAAGTGAAATTGTGAGATATTATGAATTTGTTGCTTATTGTCTGTTTAAGACAAAAACAGTGTTAAGTGTCTGTTTAAGACAAAACTCTAAAATAAACCAACAAAAGAAATTGCATTGAAAAAATGTTTGTGAAAGAAAGATGGAGAATTGTTGATTCGTGAATGATTGTTGATGTTTAAAACTGTGAAAATAACAATGTAATTGTAGGTGAGAATTAGGTCAATAATTAAATGAAATTGATCTATTTTTGGCATAATTTTCAAGATCGAAAATTGATTCGAATCTTGGTGAGCAAGATATGAATCTGGATGATTTTGTGACCTGGTGCAAGATTTGATTTGAAAGTAATTGATTTGAGAATGGTTTTATTTATTTTTTGGGATTTTGACTATTTAGTGTATAAAATCAAATATTAAAAATAAAAACTAATTTTTTAAAATACCCATAAATAAATAAAACA